GTTCTTTTTCATAAAAAATTTGATTGTTTATTAAGACAGAATAATTATACCAACTATTTGTTCAGAAATTAATATAATCAAAAAATTAATTGTAATGTAAAACAGCAAAATAATAAATTATACTTAAATATTAATAGCAGTTACAGATTTAAGCAGTTAGAGATTTAATTTAACATAAAATTTGACACAAGCTAAAAAAATATAAAATAATGTAAAAACACAGAGTAGATTAAAAATTATAATAAAAGAAGCGAGAGCCTCTAAAAGAAAAAATAAAAGCCTTTTTTAATACAATGTAATAAAAATAAATGTATAGCTCATGCATCTGTAGATGTTAGTAATGTATGACAATCGCTTCTACGATTTTAAAAAACATAACATACCGTAAAAATTATCTATAATTAAAAATAATCATACAGAAAGTTTGAAGCTTTTTGGTTTTACCTTATTAAGTAATTTCTATCAGGTAGTAACTCTTAATTTAGTAGTTTAACTTGATATAATGTCATTTTAACAGAACATCAACGGTTTTTAGACGTATCTGTTTAAAAAAAACTAACTACGATTCACCCTGTATATCTTATATACCTTTTTTAATAATTAATTAAAATAAACCTTTCAAAAACCTCTTTCCAGTTTCCTATAATAACTTCCTGGTTAACTGTAAACAGTGCTAAAGTAAGCGATCGTATTTCTCTGCAAACAACATCTTTAACGATATTAAATTTTAAAGTGTCTCACTCTTGAAACTTCCAGTAAACGGGCAATTGTTTATTTTGTTTTTCCTTGCACTTAGGAGAACAGATAGGAGAGTCTGCTTAGTACCATAATTCGATTATGAAGTAAAGCAACAACAGAATATAAGAGGTCCCCAAGATTAACGCAAAATTCTTTCTAGATACAAGTCTAAATTTTTTATTTTTCTACTGTTTTACTTTTTAAATTTTATTTTATTATTTTTAACTCTTGTGTTCCATCTTTACAATTTCAGGGAATTTTGAGGAGAACAATTTTATATAATAACTTATAAAAAGTCAATACTTGAATGTCTCAACAGGCTTTAGGTGCTGCCTAAAATATAAAATATAAATTGTGTTAACATTTCAACGAATCCAGAATCCACTAGAAAACACTCCAGGTGTAAATTATTGAGACTTTCAAATACCCGAAAAATATTAAAAACAAAATGTAGCATACAGTTTGGTATGGTTTGGTTTGAAAAACAGGATCTTGGAAAGCACTGTTCATTAAAATGTTGTATCCTACGTTATAGGGCTTGTTTCTCTCTACAATTTCCTGTTTCACAATGTACTGTTTGTGTCGGGGAAGGTATCATAATTTCATAGTTGTCGATTTTCGAAAGAAATCAGTAAATGTATATTATTTCGTATATTTTTCATTTTATTGATTTTATGGAAAGCACTGTTCATTAAAATGTTGTATCCTATGTTATAGGGCTTGTTTCTCTCTACAATTTACTGTTTCACAATGTACTGTTTGTGTCGGGGAAGGTATCATAATTTCATAGTTGTCGATTTTCGAAAGAAATCAGTACATGTATATTATTTCGTATATTTTTCATTTTATTGATTTTCTGGAAAGCACTGTTCATTAAAATGTTGTATCCTATGTTATAGGGCTTGTTTCTCTCTACAATTTCCTGTCTCACAATGTACTGTTTGTGTTGGGGAAGGTATCATAATTTCATAGTTGTCGATTTTCGAAAGAAATCAGTACATGTATATTATTTCGTATATTTTTCATTTTATTGATTTTATGGAAGCACTGTTCATTAAAATGTTGTATCCTATGTTATAGAGGCTTGTTTCTCTCTACAATTTCCTGTCTCACAATGTACTGTTTGTGTTGGGGAAGGTATCATAATTTCATAGTTGTCGATTTTCGAAAGAAATCAGTACATGTATATTATTTCGTATATTTTTCATTTTATTGATTTTATGGAAAGCACTGTTCATTAAAATGTTGTATCCTATGTTATAGGGCTTGTTTCTCTCTACAATTTCCTGTCTCACAATGTACTGTTTGTGTTGGGGAAGGTATCATAATTTCATAGTTGTCGATTTTCGAAAGAAATCAGTACATGTATATTATTTCGTATATTTTTCATTTTATTGATTTTATGGAAAGCACTGTTCATTAAAATGTTGTATCCTATGTTATAGGGCTTGTTTCTCTCTACAATTTCTTGTCTCACAATGTACTGTTTGTGTCGGGGAAGGTATCATAATTTCATAGTTGTCGATTTTCGAAAGAAATCAGTACATGTATATTATTTCGTATATTTTTCATTTTATAGATTTTATGTACGGGACGATCGTGTATGGACCATATATTCACTCTGGTCCATATAAATGAAAAAAAAGTGGCAACCAATAGAGATATACATCTGCTCTTTGTTGACCTCACCAAAGCGTATGATACCGTTCCGATCCAAAAGCTCTGGAAAGTCCTCGAAAAATCCTCTATAAATAACACAGCGATAGAAGCAGTTAAACAGCTATATAATGAGGCAACATCAAGAATAAAACTGGGTACGGCGGTATCTGAGGTTTTCCTGTAACTAAGGGCCTACGACAAGGTTGCTGCCTATCCCCGATGTTATTTAAGATCTATCTGAATGAAACCCTAGAAAAATGGAGAAGATCGTGCAGAGGAATGGGAATACCACTTAACGACGAAACAACTCTATACAACCTTCATTTTGCAGATGATCAAGTGGTAGTGGCTCAAGACAAGGAAGACCTACAATTTATGACAACAAGACTTTTAAGCGAGTATGAAAATGGGGGTTGTCGGTAAATACGTCGAAGACTAAGTACTTATGTATAGGCCAAGCAGCAGAAACTTTACATATGGATGGAAATATAGAGATAGGCTCATGCAGTAAATACACCTACCTTGGAACTCAGATAGATTATACCGGGCGAACAGAGAACGAGATCGAGGAAAGAATACTGAAAGGCAAAAAAGTCATCGGGTGCCTAAACTCAGTATTATGGTCCAAACACATCTCATATGAGAAAAAATACACTATTTATAATTCCATCTTTAAAAGTATAGTTTTATATGGATGTGAAACATGGCAGCTTACTAGTAGAATGGAACAAAGACTATTAGCACTCGAGATGGACTTCTGGCGAAGATCTGCGGGAATATCAAGAATGGAAAGAGTAGCGAATATAAAGATAAGGGAAATTATGCATGTCCAGCAAACCATAATAAATGAAATAGAGAAAAGACAGCTGGTATGGTATGGGCATGTAGAAAGAATGAGTGAGGACCGAATACCGAAGAAAGTTCTGAAATGGATACCATCAGAAAGGAGAAAAAAGGGAAGGCCGAAAGCAACATGGATCAGAGGAATACATAAAGCTATGTTGGAGAGAAACCTTCATCCAGGGGATTGGGAGAATAGGAAAGGCGGGCAACTGGGTACCGGAAAGCGTAGGACGCTATGAACCCGGGTTTATATATTATATATTATATATTATATATATATATATATATATTGATTTTATGGAAAGCACTGTTCATTAAAATGTTGTATCCTATGTTATAGGGCTTGTTTCTCTCTACAATTTCCTGTCTCAAAATGTACCGTTTTTGTCCGGGAACGGTTCATAGTTTCATTGTTGTCGATTTTCGAAAGAAATCAGTACATGTATATTATTCCGTATATTTTTCATTTTATTGATTTTATGGAAAGCACTGTTCATTAAAATGTCGTATCCTATGTTATAGGGCTTATTTCTCTTTACAATTTCCTGTTTCACAATGTACCGTTTGTGTCCGGGAAGCATTTAAGCAAAATGTACCATTGTTTAGTCCATAATGTGATTTTCCCTGCTCTCATTGGTCGAGAGTAAACGCTAGTGCGTTTTGCCAAACATGACTAAAATGCGGTACATTTTGCCACGTTAGCGTGAGGCGTTCCAAACGCAGGTACATGTTGCTAAAACTTTACTAAAACGTGGTGTATTATGCCAGAGATCGAATGGCATTAACCTTTTTAATTGCCCTGAGAAAAATAAAAAAGAATTGACGAATTGATATAACTTTATACGCTTCTCTCAAGTAGTTTTCATTAGACAGACGTTGTTTTTGTGTGTTTGAATAAACTTTAGCATTTTTAATTGATATCTACCATTGGTTTAAGGTCGCATTATTTATGCTGAACTAAAAACAGCAGAAGATTGCGACGCATGGATTTCAGAATTTTCGCGACTAAATTCAGTTGCCTGGATTGTACGGCGAACTTTAACTTTCTTCTTTCCGTATTGTACAGGCTGTATGGAGGTGGCTTTTGGACAAAAATCACGCAGTTTCCAAAGAAGATCGACCATTATTATACAGGGTGGTGCACCTTCATTCGCCTCGGTTGATTAAACGGAAAGATGTAGAAACAAAAATGTTTATGGGTATATGTAGAGAAACAATGTGCAAAATTTAAAAATATTTTGAAATGTACAGGGTGTGTTAGAACTAAGATCCATACCAAAGTTATATTTTTTCTTATGGAACACCCGGTATTTTATTTCATTTTTGGATTCTTGGGCATAAAATAAGGCATTTATTATAAGGGTTAAATATGTTTAGATGCTTTGGTTTTTGAGATATTTAAAGACATTTAAATATGCATGCTCTAATAAAAAAGTTTGTTAACACCCTGTACATTATTATTCAGAGTTTATTCTTGTAGTGACTTTGAAGCCAGAGAAATTCACTTTACTAAAACAATGTATTGCTTTCTTAAATGTATACAGGGGTATCAAAAATGACACGCATATCTTTTAACTCACTCGTATCGTAAATCTCTATTAAAAAAACTTTTAGAAAATATTTCTTAATTTATTTCGGAGGTCAAAATCTGGCAGTCCAACTGCAGTATTAATATACAAATAGCTTTACCATTTGAAATATTAAACACGGTAAAGAAATACTCATTATTCGACGTTTTATGTTAATAAAATGGGACTTACCTGTAAAGCTCACTTTATGCAAATATTTCAGCAACTCGCTTCCTTTTGTCGGTCGCATGGCTTCGCATAATCCCGGCTTTTTGCAAAAGTCTTCGTGCATATCCCTGAAAAAGAACATCCCAAGATTGCTTGCGCTTTCTTACTAGCTCTACGCCAACAGAAAATAGTTTAAGAAAAATATCCTCGGAAATACCGCCAACATAGTTCTTTATCTAGATGAAAATATGGTTTTATTCTCTTTGTATTATGCAACGTGCCGCGATTTATATTCCGCGGACTAGATGTTTTTACCGGTTTTAAAATTGTTTGAGTTAATTTAGTTATTGAATTTAATATTTTGTGGTAATTTAGATGAATTACAGTGGCGGCCAAAAGTATGGAAACTTTTTACTTTTTAAAATATCACAGAAAATATTGCTATGCTTAAACTCTCAGGAATATAAATGAACAGCTTATCAGCAAATAAAAGTATTCCAAAAATTACACAGCGAAAAAAATCTGTTAGCAGTTTTTGTAGGAGAACAATAGATTTCTTGTGGGCAAAAAGTATGGAAACCATAAATAAATACATTAAAATTATTTAGTTTAAGCTGATAAACGGTACGATTTGCTTCAGATAAATATAAACATCATGCCCAAGTCTAAATATTTCTCTACGGATTTAAAAAACAAAATAGTTGAATTATACAAGAGCGGTTATAAACAAATTCAAATAAGTAAAATTTAAACATTTTAAAAGGCACCGTTTCGAAAATAATTCGTAAATTTAATAAACAGGGAACGTTTCAACAGCTTTAAGTCAGGAAGACCAAGAAAGTTGTGCAACAGGACAATAAAAGTAATGAAAGTGAAGAAGAGAATATCAATGGGAGATCAAAAAACATCCACAGACATTTCTCGAGAAATGTGTGGTGAAAGGGGGAATATCGGTGTCTTCGCACGCACGGTGAGAAGAAGGTTGGATGACATGGGACTTTTGGAAGAGTTGCGGTGAAGAAACCACTAATATCAAAGAAAAATAGGATGGCCCGCTTTAAATTTGCTCAAGATCATCTCACCTGGTCTTATCAGAAATGGAATACTGTACTGTTTAGCGACGAAAGCAAGTTTCAACTGAGTTTGGTAGTGACGGGAGACGTTATGTCCGAAGACCAAAAAGGTACACGGTACAGCCATAAGTACCAGATGCCCACAGTAAAACATGGGGGTGGGAGTATAATGGTATGGGGTGTTTTTCTCGCTCAGGTGTTGGTCCTCTTGTTAAAATTGATGGATAATGGACCGTTTTTTGTACAAAAGACATATTGGAGAATAATATGCTGCCTCATGCTGATGAAGAAATGCCACTCAGATGGTTGTTCCAGCAAGACAATGATCCACAAGCACAAACTCTCGGTTTGTTCAAAATTGGTTAAATGAACATAATAGTTCCACCAATGGATTGGCCCTCACAGTCTTCGGATCTTAACCCCATAGAAAATTTATAGGACCATTTGGATAGCAAAAATTCGAAGCTATTCTATTTCAAATAAAAATGAATTATGGGAAGTGCTAAAAACTGAACGGGCGGCCATTTCAGTAAAGATTGTACGAGATTGATCGATTCGATGCCACGAAGATGTAAGAAAGTAATTAATTCAAAGGGATATTCCACTAAATATTAGTAATTTTATATTATCTTGAATTTTAATAAACATTCTTCTTAAGTTTCCATACTTTTGACCAAGAAAAATATTCATAATTTTTATATATTTTTGGATAGCTGTAATTTTTTATTTAAACGTATTAGGTTTTGTAGGAAATTATTTGTAGGTCACGATTATATAAGTCGTTTTATTTCATATTTTAATTTCTCAGCATAAATGACAAATTAAAAAAGTTTCCATACTTTTGGCCACCACTGTATATTAATTTTTTTCTTCCGCATATTTTTGTTATACGTAGCATTTATTATCTAAATTCACTTCATACAAAAAATAATATACAGTGTGGCGCCTCTCATACGCCGCGGAGGCTCCAAGGAGAACGACAGTTTGTATTGAAATGATATTTTGTGAGCATATGTAGGTTAATTCACAGCACTTTTTAAAAACATAGAGAGTTCTACAGGGTGTCCCCCAAAAAAGTTACAATATCAAAGTTGTGTTTTTTTGTAACGGAACACCCTATATGTTAATTGATTTTTGGATTCTGGGAGAAAAATAAATGTGAGTTTTATGAGAGAAGTATATGACCAATAATATATATCTAATAAAAAAAACGTCGGTGAAACTCGGATCTGAAATTGAAAACCGTAAAGCATATAACAAATCGTTCGGTGGCGTTTAATTTTTCTCCATATAGAAAGAAAGATTTATGTTGGCGGTGTGGAATTTCAGAAAGGCACTGGACCCAAATAACCCGCGCACGTGTGCCAGTGTGTACCAGAATTGGCGTAATTTACAGCCCTAATATTGCATCGGTTTGTGTTCTTTATGGTTTGCCCCGTTATTTATAATCGAGGTTTATTATTTAATTACCTTTTATTATTTTTTAATATAGTCGAGTAATGAATTATTATATCATATGTTAGTCGGATTAATAGTTTTTAGTTTACAGACCTGGGGTTAGTGTATTTAATAACAACTAATACATATAGTACAGTCTGTGAAACTGGGGTTAGTGTATTTAATAACAACTAATACATATAGTACAGTCTGTGAAACGAATAACTTTGAATTTGACAGTTCCCGCGGGCTTTTCTAGTGTTAATTTTATTAGGTTAGTAACTTGCGGCCATGCTGACGCAATGCCGTCTCTAATAGAACAGCCACGGAGCGAGATTTATGACGTCACGCTAGTTAGATACTACGGATTAATAAATATGTTGTAGAATACATGGAAAACATAATTATTCCTCGTATTTTTGGTTTGTATTTTAAAAATGACATAGTTTGCATGAAATATATATAATATAGAGATATATATATAATATATATATATATATATATATATATATGTATATATATATATATATAGTTATATATATATATATATATATATATAAGTTAAGGTATATATATATATATTTCCAATCAAACCAAATCAAACAAAAATACGAGGAATAATTATGTTTTCCATGTATTCTACAACATATTTATTAATCCGTAGTATCTAACTAGCGTGACGTCATAAATCTCGCTCCGTGGCTGTTCTATTAGAGACGACATTGGTCTGATGTTTAGAAATGTCAAAAGCTGATGACATTTTACTTTTGACAATGATGACATTTCGCGTTGATTTTTGCAAGAAGAGGAAGAACTGTCACTTGGTTTTGCTTGTTTTATTATTTTCCTTTTCTATTTCACGAAAGTAAAAAGAGTTACCTATCTGATTCGTTGAGGCACTCAATTTAAAGAATATCAGTAACTTTTTTGACAGAGGGATTTTATATTTGCCATATTGGTAAAAAATAACGGTCAAAATTCAAAGTTATTCATTTTATAGACATAGTGGAGTACTTATGGAAGAAACTCAATCATATCCAAATCTAAAATGTCACTTTATCTCAAGATGAATACATTCGACCAATGTGCACTACCAGTCATGACCTATGTATACGAAACCTGGACACTTAAAGGTTGATTCTCGCTATACCTTCCTTCTAATTTTTACTCAAGTAGATACAGAGTGTTGAATTTTAAACACATTATAAAAATAAACATCACTTGAAAAAATAACAAATACCGGAAAATAAAACATTTCATGTTTCTATGTTACTACTACATATATTTTTCCATATAAAGGTTGATTCTCACTCTACTTTCTGTTTCCATTCCATATATCCGTTCCGTATTTTTTATTGCATTGACTCTATACGTAAGCTTCGTGTTATGAAAAGATATAATAACTGAAAGTGTTTTGTTGTACTTCAGGGTACGTCCCGGTAGTGATTTTTGTAGAAATGATAAATGAACAGTATTCCCTTCCTAAAAATCATATATTCAAGGTCCACCATGCTCCACCTATTGATTAATTAAATATTTAAAGCTTACTGTTTTGCGAAATGTAAAAAAGTAATATAACGCAGCTACCTATCTCCTGCTGATCTTCTGATACTTTTTATGGTCAAGTAATTCGTAATTTTGCATTTACCTTTATTTTAGGACCATCTGGCATTAGGGCAATGACTCGTAGAGAAATATTTGACTTGATAAGTGCACAAAATCGCCTCGATCGATATTAACGAGTAAGTTCGAATTTGTCGAAAGTCATTTGGCAACATTGGAGCTTTATAGGGACGAACAATTAAGAAAATAAAGCATAAATTTTCATATGTGAAGTCCGAAGTAAAGCGCCGCTGGATTGCAGCTAAACAACGACCAGACCTATTCGGAAAAAATAATCAGACATGGCTAAGGGGAGTGTTTGAGCTGCCAAAGGTACAGACAAAGCCAGGACGACCGAAAAAATTATTTGAAAAGGCTAACGAACGAACTAAAAGACGCAAGACTGAAGAACTTCCATTGTCTGATAGTCCTAATAAAATTATTTATGCGGCCCAAATGGAATTACGTGATCAGGGTCTGCATCGACAATACTGAAAGAAATTTTGGAAAATCCACACACAGCTCATGAGTAACAAAAGAGCAATTGAGTTTCAACAATCGAATGAGGTGAAAATTTCCCCTGAAGAAGCTCTGGCAATGTTTGTAGAAGCCAAACTGACAAAGGCAAAGTACAAAATAATAAGAAAAACTACTAGAAACCTTCCGTGTTACTCTGTTTTACACACATTTTTTTTAATAAACGTAGATTGAACCAAAACATAGTATTTTGAAACGATTTTCAGTGATAAATAATTTTGGCCAGGTGGATCCAGCAAATACTCCTTTGTGCGACGTTGCTAGCTCTCGTACTATTAGGAAATTAGCAGGGAGAACTTGAGCTCGCATAGCCATCAATAGACAACAATGAGCCCAACTCCAAAGAGAGTATCTAAATATGTGAGGGAGGCTACACCATAATTAGAAATGGTTGAATAAGCTGAAAATGACAATGATAATTCTAAATAATGAAAATATAGAGTATGCCTTAAATTTACCTTATAGCGTAAGCAAAAGCCATAACGGCATCAGACACGAATTGTAGCTGTCCTTCAAAAACTGTGTTGTCTTCAGTCAACTTTTCCTTTCCTGTACAATTTTTGGCGTACCTGATGTTATACGGCGTCTTTGAACTGTTTGGATATCGGCACCCGAAGTGATGCTCCCAAAATTCTGAAATAATAAATATATAATCATGAATTAGTCTAATACTATTTCTCTTACTGGCTGAACAGTTAAATGTATAAAAACTGCCTATACCTATGTGGCGGATTCGTCTCCAAAAAAATCCTATATTTTTTTATTCGTTAGGCAAATTTGTTTATCAGTAAACCTAACTGCTGACCAGTAGTTTCCGCTGGATTAACAGTGTTTACAAAAAATAACTATTTTATTTTGTAGATTTTCTTGCAGTGGCGAAATACCCATATAGGATTTTTTTGGAGAGTTAAATGTATGTGATCACATTATATACATATAAGTTTAAAAGAACAAAAATAAAAAATATCTTGAAAATCGTGCATTTTCTTTTAAATTTTCCTGTATATTTTAAAAAACCTTTTAAAACTACCTGTTCACCGCGAATTTTCCCCCATGGTATAATTTCTTAATCTCAAATATAACCATGGTTAGGGCTTTACTCTATGGTTATGACACTAAAAGGAATGCAAATACAGAAAAAATCCGGTGGCTGTTAAATTTTGTTAACAGTCGTTAAAAATAAATATATTTTTTTTTTAATTTTGAAACTTGAATTCGGTTATTTTCGACTTATTTAAAAAACGGTAAAGAGAAAATATGTTTCTTTTATCGAGATCTACCAGCCCTAAAATATTTGCACTTATTTAAAACACTCCCTGTATAAATCAAATACAATTCGTATAATCAAAAGAATATATTAAAACCGAATTATAACGAGAAAACTTTCCTGGAGTGGATCCTTTCGAACTGGATGACATGTGTCCATCAGCAGTTTACCATTAGCTGAAGAAGTATGATTCTTCGGTTGTGGGGTATAAATTCATTATTAAATAACATTATTATCATCAAAAGCATATATTAAAACCGAATTATAACGAGAAAACTTTCCTGGAGTGGATTCTTTCGAACTGGATGGCATGTGTCCATCAGCAGTTTACCATTAGCTGAAGAAGTATGATTCTTCGGTTGTGGGGTACAAATTCATTATTAAATAACATTATTATCATCAAAACCATATATTAAAACCGCATTATAGCGAGAAAACTTTCCTGGACTGGATCCTTTCGAACTGGATGACATGTGTCCATCAGCAGTTTACCATTAGCTGAAGAAGTATGATTCTTCGGTTGTGGGGTATAAATTCATTATTAAATAACATTATTATCATCAAAAGCATATATTAAAACCGAATTATAACGAGAAAACTTTCCTGGAGTGGATTCTTTCGAACTGGATGGCATGTGTCCATCAGCAGTTTACCATTAGCTGAAGAAGTATGATTCTTAGGTTGTGGGGTATAAATTCATTATTAAATAATATTTTTATCATCAAAAGCATATATTAAAACCGAAATATAACGAGAAAACTTTCCTGGAGTGGATTCTTTCGAACTGGATGGCATGTGTCCATCAGCAGTTTACCATTAGCTGACGAAGTATGATTCTTCGGTTGTGGGGTATAAATTCATTATTAAATATCATTATTATCATCAAAAGCATATATTAAAACCGAATTATAACGAGAAAACTTTCCTGGAGTGGATTCTTTTGAAATGGATGGAATGTGTCCATCAGCAGTTTACAATACAATTTGATATTTCCAGATTCTTTTTAGCAAGAAATATACGTGCTATAAAACTAAACATTATATATAAAACTTTCGTTGACATCACTGATCGATAGATTTATTTTTAGTGGCTGGCACGAGAGAATATAGCTAAGACAATAAAATACGAGTTAGAGCTTTCGTCTAAAGTCTATCCAAGTTATGGCCCATATACTGAGTCTAGCCAAGCTGTCATAAATATAATAAATCCCTAATACATTTCTGCACTGTAAAGATATTGTCTGCTAGTACAGGACATTATGTAGTTAAACTACATAGTAAGTTGTAGCGATAAAATTTCTCATCGCTATATAAAATTGATATTGATTCCCATATTTTCGCTTTCTTGTTCATGTTATGTGATTGTTCATGTTATGTATTGATAGAAATGGAAATTATTATCAACACGTTTTATATTCTTTAAAGATTTCAAAATACTGACTCTTCTTTATTCATTTTTGTGAATCCGTTTGCTTAATCCGCAAGCACATATCTGCTATTCCCGAAAGACCATCTCACAACATCCACTTAGTAATGCGGAGCCAACCCCGAACTCAGAACTAGTTAAATGCTCAATACTGTAAAATGCCGAAAAATGTACAATTATCTGCCTTTGAATATCAAGTCGCTTTCATTCTTTCCCGCATTTCGCAAACCTCTGAAATCATACTTACTGGAGAGAGCCCTATATGCGGTAAACGACTTTTTTATTGATGTTTAATCATGAACAATTTTGAATTTTAAAATTTTGATCATCTCACACACTGGTCAAAGGTCGAGTATTTAATATTTTATAACTCTTAAAATTATATCCATTTACAATTTTCCTATTGGAAAATTTTATTGATACACCTTTTTTTGTGTTCTGCAATTGTTCATGTATGTTCTATTTGTAATTTTAGTGACTTACTTTTTTTTGAATTGTATGATTTGTATTGTATATTTTTTATTATTTGTATATTTTTTGTGCTTTTGTTTGTTTTGTAAATGCTTTGTCGATGATGCTATTTTGGCTTTTTGCACAATAAAACCTTATTTATTATTTATTATTATTAATTCTTAGACTATTGGCCATTAATTTAAATATCGGCTATTATATTTTAACAGCTGCGCCGTATTTTTAACTAATATAAAGAAAGCTGCATTTATTATTAAATGAAAACTGAACAAGTTAACATAAGTTGTCAACCTATGATTGAACGCAGTTTGTTATGCTGTCTACGTTATTATGTTAGAGTACCTATCTACGGCTAGTGAAGTGATAAAGTCAATATAATTTGATATTGACGAAATTATAAGTTGCCAATGCACAACCCTGACTTGATATACTAACTTTTTTATATTCTTTTTTCGGTGATTTTCCAGAACGCAATATTTATCTTTTGCTTTCAAAATGACAGGAGTTTATTGTTAAAAAGTCATATACTACAGAACTTGTAAATCAGATCTATAATTTTCCATTTTTTTCAAGTAGGTCATTTAAAAGAGAGAGTTTGGCAAGAGGAAGTTGAGAATATATATTATTCCAAGAGAGTATGTAAGATATATCTAAGATATCAAACTTTATCCAGAATCAAAAGTCGTAAAATAATCATGACAAAATTATGCAGACCTCTCTATATTGGACGCTGGATTAAAGGACCCTGAGGACCTTCAAATTAAAATGTCAAGAATCTTGAAGAATATAATTAACAGACATCCTGTCGACCAGGGAATAAGATTTATATCCAAAACCAGCAACTCCACACAGCTGTCCGTGTGCTTTGATATATTTTACGCACACTTAGATCAATCAGAAGTGACCGATCTTAGCCTCTACCGAAAGCTAGGGGGTACAAGATACGAAATATTTTGCAGCGAATGTTTTTTGATGGTTTGAGTGAAAAGGGCCAGATATTTCTTATCTATAGGTTGTTAAATATTATTTATTTCTAATGGAATATTTAGAAAAATGGACGAAAACTTAAGGATTAAGTAGATTAACACTGGAGCTAATAATATATAGTATGTCTTTACAAGAGGAACACTTTTTTATTATTGATATTTTGAGAAAAATGCATTCTTCATAAAAATTTTTACTTGTTCAAAAACGGTTAATCCCCTTTATACTTTTCTAAATTTCCATACCGTTTTTGAGATATTTAAAAAAAAAACATGAAAATATAGTTGAATTTTCTCTTTTTGAGGTTCTAAAAATCAAAAGGCGTTTCGATGGTAATATAATTTCGATATCATTCTTTGATAGATGGTAGTTATTATTTTGATTAACGTCATATTTTTTGCTGTTATTAAAGTATTACCAGGGGCCGGAAAGTGAAATAGCAAAAGCGGTTCCACCGTTTCCATGGAAATTTCAAATAAAATATTAGTATTTTAATAAAGCACGCTTTTAGATGTTTCAAAAAACTTTTAATAAGAGTAACTTTAACTCTATATATATGTTTCGGCTTGTTACGCCTTCTTCAAGAGTTTTTTAAGAACTAATCGTCTAACTACACTGTAACTATATATATATATATTTGCTATGGGGGTGGGTTCAGAGAGTTTTCAATATGGGTAATAAAAATGTGTTTAGAAATCCTTGTTGGTCGTTAACATTATTTTCGTTTTTAACAGATTTTAGTATTTCTAACTGTTCAATGTAATTTAAGCGTCTACCTTTTGTTTCTCTATGTGGTAACTTAATTGAGTTTTCGTTAATTTTGTGATTATTTACCATACAATGAGTTGCAAGACCAGAACTATGCTGGAGATTATTAATAGACTTTACATGTTCTTTAATCCTTATATCTAAATTTCAACCTGTTTGGCCTATGTACACGACATCACAATCATTTATCGAAATCCACCCTATATACACCTGACTTATTTTTGACATTAGTTTTGTCTTTATTATTTTAATAAAATTTGACGTAAATTTCTTTTATTTACGTTAATAGTTTTACACCCTATTTTATTGAGATTATTTGATATTTTGTTAGTTAAATTAGGAATGTAGTTTAAAAGAGT